CTGCTTTTTCATGAAAAGTTGAGTTATGTCAAGCAGAATTCTGTTACTTTGTATTTCGACTTGTTTCATAAACTTTGCAGAGAGCACTATATTCCAATTGACCACACTTTACTTCTACTGGCAATTTCTTGAAAACACTGATTCTTAGTTACTTTAGGTCAGCATTCCCCAGCTGGCGTGTTGTTGGTCATGTCCAGGTGTGCTGCGGCACTTTGGGCTGGAGCCACGCCCCCAGCCAGGCAGAGGGCGTGGCTCCAGCCAGCAATTCAAGCGCTGCACCACCCACTTCTGACTGGTCTGCATTTGGCCGTGTGCCCGCCCCCCCCCCGGCTCTCTGTTCAGTCCGTGTGCTGTGGTGTGGGAGAGGCCATGTAAGTGTGCCGTGTGGTGAAAAAGGTTGGGAAACGCTGCTTTAGGTGTTCTCAGAATTTTTCATACCTGTCCTGAAACTAAAAGGAACTTTAAATTTAACAGTCTGAGCCCACTGAGTTATCCATTCAAGGGGGAAAAATGTTTTCTACCACCAAGGAAAAATGCATTAATTTCAGACGGTTCAATTTAGCTGTTCTGAATGAGCCGAGGACGGGAGAGGTAAGGCTGCTGTTGTATGGAGCTCCTATGAGTTAATGTGGATGGCTGCCTGACCGTTAGCTTCGTTGTGGTCTCTAAATACTACCCTTTTTCCTGTTGGTCATGAAGGAGATGAGGAGTGGGCTGGGTTGTACTTTTCTCACTGCTCCTGCCTATGGTCAAGGAACAGGTTTCAGAAGGCGAGGATTTGGTCTCAAAAAAGGCATCAAGTGTGGCGAGTTTGGGGAAGTGGAAAGCTGAGGGAACATTTTACTTGTATTTTATTTCATCATCATCAATCTACTATTATTCTCTTATTTCATATAATATTTTACTTCTCCCTTACACCCCATTACAATCCCTCTGTTCAGCCAAGAGCAGCTTTGAATATCATCAATACTCTTTGAGTACACTTGGCGAACATGCACGGGAGGTCATTCTTGGCAGTTCCTTGCCCCAGCTCTGGAATTCTCTCCCTCCTTGAGGCCCACTGGAGTCCCAAGCTTGGATGTCTTTTGGAAGCACTGTAAGACCTTCCTGTTTTAAGAAGCATTTAGCAAACAAAGCTAGGCCAGGGGATTGCTTTAGGGATCCGTGGCTTCTAGTGATATTCTGGTACCTCTCTTAAGTTTCTTTGTTCTATTTTCTCACTTTTTTTCATAATGCTCCTGTTTTATAAGTTGTTTTGTTTTCTTACTGTAAGCTGCCCTGAGGTTTTGATGAGAAGGGCAACATATAAATCACACAAATAAATAAGGTGGTGTTTGTGTTTGAGCTGAGATAATATTTTTGGTGTGCTGGAATTATACGTGTTTAAAAATTGTTCAGTAAAAGCACTCCACAGTAATGTGGAATTTTTAAGGCTTTTTTTAGACTGAACTTAAGTCGACTGTTGTGGTTGTGTGAAAGCACTAGGGCAGTGGTTGGCAACCTTTTCTGGTTGCAGGCTGGAGTGATCCAGTTTGGATCAGGGTGGGTGGCTGGGCAGTAGAACTTGGCCACCCTGTTGCTTTGCCCTGTGGCAGCATAGAGAGAGCACCTGTGGCAGAGGCCCCCTGCTGCCAAATGCCACTGGATCCAGTGGTTCTGTGGGCCAGCCTTGGCTTGGTGGCCACTGATTGCTGACTCTTGTGCTAGGATATCGTTGCCTAGGGTATTTTAAAGAACTCAAATATGTTTGTGAGTTTGTGTTATATGGTTGAGACCATACAACATTAATGTTGTTTTGCTCTGGTCCTCTCTCTATCATCTAAATAGAGCAATGTTCAATATTCATAAATCAGAACAAGTTCAACAGAAGCCGGTCTATGTTAAGGTAATGTAAGAATGATGTTGTAGCTGTGATTGGTCCACAAATTGTGCTGGCAGCAAGGATTACTTAAAGGGTGATATCTTGTCTAACTTTATCCCACCTACATAGTTGGTCCCATAAAAGATACCACCCTAAGAAATCCTTGCCTCTCTCAGTATTCTTAAGGACAAGAAGTTACGCACAAACTGGTTTCAGTGATCAGGAACCAGTTTAAATCTGTAACAAAGCATAAGTTTAGTGCAAGTAAACCAGTTTCAAAATGGCTGAAACTGGTTTAAGATAAACCTGGTTGAATGTAGTATCAGACTTAACTGGTTTGACCCAAATCAAATTTCTGTCCCAGATCCTTTCCTGGTTTAAGCTGAGTTAAATCTGAGTCCCCCAACATGTTTTTTCAGCCCTGGACTGGACTGTCTGCTCCAATGGAACAGGGCTGGCCCCACCCGCAGCTGCCAGCAGGGACTTTTCCATCCCCAGCAGCCAGAAGTAGGGTGGATTCCCCTGCCTTGCCCCCACCTCTGATGGGGAATTGACCCAGGTCCCAGCTGGGGCAGGGGAGCAAAGCCTCCACTGCAGGCTTCTCCCCTCCAGGCACGGGGTGTATGTTTTCATCCCCTCCCCTTCCCCACAGGACGTGGTGCGGGCCACACTCGCCAAGAGCCCTGTGGTTCAGGACAGTCTGAGATGAGGGAGCTGCAGCACGGGACCCCTGACAGGAGCTGCTTCCCCCATCCACCTCCAGGCACACCCTGGCTGGTGTCCATGCAGACCAGGGTGGGGGTTTATACCACTCCGCAATCACACTCAAGCCTGCCTTGGCTTGGCCATGCCCCCCCGCCGCTTAGTTTCCCTCCAGTGGAGGGCTTGTTCTAGGGCCCCCTGGCTTCTGGCCTGAGCCACTGCAGGCATGCACCTGCCTTTCTGGAGTCAAAAGTAGATGTTGATCCACTTACGAATCAGTTCAATCTATGCAGGTTAGAGTTACCTGCAAAGATTGAATGCCTCCTTGTGTCCGTTCCCTACCCCCCGGGTCTGGAAATTTTGGCGAAACGGTAACGGTGGTAGCTTCAGTTGCCACTCTGTGGCTGCCACGTTCCCAGACCCATGGGGAATCCTACAGGCCAGATTGAATGTGGTACCTGGCTGAGCCGAGACAGCACGGGGCCCAATCCCAGAGCATGGACCATCCCTTTGCCACTCATTTGGCCCACAGGATTAAATGATAGAGTGCCACCATGATAGGTGATCTAATGTGAAATCAACTATTAGACTTGAAAGATTGAATTTGCACTGTGCTGTGCTAAGGAATTTACTGCCTTGCATTATGAAGCCTGATGCTTAAATACTTTCCAGTAAAGGTTTAACTAAAGACCTTGTGTATAGCATTGGTGTGTGCCTTTTGGTTGTACTTTAAGTGAGGGTGGGCATTTATAAACCCATAATGAGTGGCTGAATTAAGTTTGAAGCTTATTTGCAGAGGACCTCCAAAGAATATTTTAGGCTTGTATCACTACATTATTTAAATCGTAAATTAAAAGAAGTTGTCTTCATTATAGCGTTAGTCAGATTCCTTATTTATCTCTAAGTTCAATACCAAGTTCAATTTGTTTTAGGTTCAAAATCAATTTAACTCTTTAAGCTCAGTATCAGGAGTCAGTTTGGCTCAGTGCCTGGTAATACTTAACTATCAGAAACCTAGTCTGAGTTATTTCAGCCATGAAGTGACATAAAAATATGGAAAGCAGGGAGGGTTGAAGTGCCCAATTCATTTTACTACCAAATATTAATAAACTCTGCATATGCTAGATTCTTTACATTAAAATGCCACAAAAAATGTTGGAGTCGCTATCAGAGCAACTTTGGTTGTGCACCAAAAAAAATCCTTTTGAAGTTCAAAGTCAATAGAGTTGATGTAAAATCTAAAAAGAGCTGTATATCTTGAGCTGGGATTTTATTATTTCTCTTGCACTGTTGGCAGCCAAATTCCTGAGCATTGTGCTAGCTTTCATGCGAGCTAAAAATGGAAACTAATTAGCCTGTTTTCATTGCTCTTCCTGGATAAGATGCAAGAAAAGATTTATTTTTACATATAATATTTTTAATATTTAAGATATGCAGGCAAACTGAATCTATAGGAAGGACTAAATATAAGTAAAACTTAATTGAACATAAGAAAACTGCAGATCTGTGCAGTAGAGTAGGGTCAAAAGGAAAGCATTTAACCAGCCACATCATAGATGACTTGCAAATGGTTCAATTCAGGTGTAACTTTGGGGCCCTGGCAGACATTGCAATTATGGTGCTGTTTAACATGTAAGTGCACCATAAATTATAACGTGCTGTGCACTTGCATTTTTATAGCTGGTTTAAATTGCACCTTAAATTGAACATATGGTGTGGCAGGTACCTGTTAGAGCTGGGGCTACCCCATTTGGATCCAACTCGCAGCTGATGGGAGACGCATGGAATGATTATCCATGCCCTATTGTTATATTTTTATTTAGTTGCTGCTCCTGTGTTTTGCAAACTGTGCATTTTGTTCCCCATTAGTCCTGTTTACACTGTGCAACTGAATAACCAGATCCTTTTCCTTGTGTTAACTAGTAACAATTTACATAGGAAGATAAAACAGTATTTCAGACTGTCCTTATGCTTGGGAGACTTCCTATTTCTTCCATGGTTAGACCTGTTTTGATCTACCAGTAGTTAGCATTGCTGTGAGCCCTAGACGTGGGTCAGCATCTTGTACACCTAATGTAGTAGACTTGTTCTGTGGAAGTTCAGATAAATGTTCTGGAAACATTTGTGATGGGAGAGCTGAACCAGTTTTAGATACAGTAAGATTTTTTTCTTTCTTTGAAGAATGTCTCAAGTGCAAAAGAGCATTTCTGTGGAAGAGCATATAAAAAGAAGTTCCAGAAAATAGAACTTTGTAACCTCACAGGAGGGACTTGAAGACTAAAAATATTACTTAAAGTATTGAATACTTTTTAAAGTAATTGAATACTGTCATTTTTCATTGTGTTTAAAAAGTTTCTTAACTTGAGAGATGTGCAGTCAGAAATTTTTATTTCTCTATGTCTGCATTTAACAATAATGTTTCTGTTCTTTTTAACAGAGGTTGCTGAACTTGAAGCTAATTTACCTTGTAAGTATGGCTTTCAATATCATGCACTTTGATAGGGAGAAACTTAGGGGCATGGAAATTGATTTGATTGTTTTCTGAATTATGAACATATTTTATGTTGCATTTTTATAGGTGCTGCTGCAAGACAGCAGTATGTTTTTTAAACATTCACTCCGTTGGTAGCAGGCAGCCTTGTTCATGGTGTTCTCATTCAGAGTATGTATTAGCTTCCCTTGGAGACAGTGGTAGCTGTTCTTAATTAAATAATAATACTTCATATTGAAGGGGATGGGGCCCATTTTTGTACATTCCCAATAACTTACAAGGGGATGAAGTTTTTTCTATTACTGTGTCAGAAGGTTTTTTCCTCCCTTCTTTCCCTAGTAATTCCAAAGTAAAACAGCTATTGAAATAAGGAATAAAGGAAAGTGATCCATTTAATAAATATCTAGAACACACATTGAACAAATCTAAGTTATTTACTTTCATATTGGTAACTTGACACTTGCTAGAGTGGAGTATTAGGGATAGTGAAAAAAAAAAAAAATTAAACAAAAAACAAAAGCCCAGAAATGAGAATGCACAGTAACTTGTGTTCCTAAAGGAGAAAATGTTTTTCACAATGGAGCCTGTTGCTAAAACAGAAAATTGCCGTCTTAAATTGGCAGGGAGAAAATGCTACTGCAAAATGTCAACTGATATTTTACATGCAGAGTTAAGTAATTTGCTTCTGCAATCCAGCAACAACTAAAACTTTGTTGTCATAAGCATCTGTCAGTTTGAGAGGAAAAACATTTTTCTGAATGGATGATAGGATTTTTTAGGGTGGGGTGGGGTTTAAGCTTTGATTTGTCTGAGAATGGGTGTTGGCAATGAATCTAGTATAGCTGTTGCTGGACACTTTCTTTATAAACATGTGCAAGGATAGTAATGAGAATCATTTTAGAAGCCATAACCTCAATAAGCACTCAATACTGTGCCAGTGAGCACACAACTTGGGGACAGATTTAACTTAGGGAAGCTTGCTAAAAATGTCTGTCAGCCATGTAATGGGTTTTAGTGGTGCTTTCCAGGCCCTCTGACTTTTCATATCTTGTTGTAATGCTTCTGAATCTGGACCTTTTCAGGGTAAAAACTGATGTTTTGTTGGTGTAGAAGGAAGAATATTTTTTTTGCAAATTAAAAGGGAAGGTGAAGGTGAGAGAGAGGACAAGGATGGACAATGAAAAAGAGAGAGAGCCTGCTAATATCGGTCTGTTAGACTTGCCCTGGTTAGTTTCGTTCTTACCTAAATATCACAAGTGATTTTTATTTTGTGCAAGACTGTTCAACCTTTAATGAAAACACTTTTCTAACATGAAAACTTTTTGCAAGTTGACAAATAATGAATACTGTAAAAGTAACGACAGCAATAGCAACCACAAAAAAACCCTCCTAACACCTGGCTTGGTCTGATTTCAACGTCTTGGGTCTTGTCTGTGTCTCTGTCATTAACAAACTTTAAACGGGGTGGATGGGTGAAAAACTCACAGACCCTTGGCTCATTCCAACCAATGTGAGAAGTTTTTGTTATTAATTGACCAAGCAAGATTAGTAGCAGAGCATAACCTTGTGGGACAGGTCTTGACTACCACGAAGTGAAGCAGGCTCTTAGTCTCCATCAGCCGGGGACTCTCCCAGTGATTCTGTGGGTGTCTTGTAAGGGTCTCCAAATTCCACCCCCCCCAACCAATGTCTAGTATTTACGCATGGCTGGTAAGCATAATTTCAACATTTTAATACTTTAATCCCTGATTTGGTTTTATTTAAATATCTTTGTTTCACAAAGTGTCAGTTACTTAAGATTTATACCCTTGAGAGAACAAAAGGGAGGCTTCCTTATGTTTCTTCCGTCTTATCCTGGAATGCTGTTTTAACTCTGGCCTGTTTATGGGTTGACAAGGTTGCTTTGTTTTTCCAAAGACCTTTTTACCCTGTGTTCTGTGTGGTATCTAAGAAGGCATACAGATGCTTTCCTCTGCTATGTTAACTAAGCCAGCTTGTTACATCTGCAAGGCTTCATGTTTCGGTCACTCAGACGGAGGCTTCTGGGGCCCCTGTCTCTTAGCCATTGTCTGTCTCAGGCCTCTTGAAAATGGTCAAATCTGGCAATAGCACTTGGCATTGCCTTACAGTGTGTAGCGCTCATACTTGGGCAATTATTCAGCTTAAATACTGCTTAGTTTTAAATAAATAACAAGTAGTAATGTACATCACAAAATATCACTTTGGTATTTCAATCTGGAATCAAATATAATGATCCTCTCCCATTCCCACTGTGCACCTAATTCAGGGTAATATTGAATGTCTCATTCATATTTATATGCCTGGTTGTGAAATGAGTCTTTTTAGCCACCAAATACATTTCAGTGTCAAAATAAAATACTTAATTGTTTTAGTATGTAGTAAAAAAATGATCATTAGTAACATTAGATAGTCCATTTAACTTGCTCTGATTTCAATACTCTGGATGAAATGTTTATTTATTTTTTTTTTGTTTAAAGAATGCTTTGATTGTAGATACAGATTTGAGCTGAAGAAATATTCTTGTATCAAAACTGGACCTATATTTCCAGAGAGCTTAGTATGTTTTAACTTCTCAGACAAAAGTAAGAGGAGCCAGTTTGACAGACTTGAGAAATGACCACAAGATTTGGTGAGGGCAGGTGCAGTGCACATTTTTCTAATGCCCTTTGGCCAGTGTGTGCTTCCTCTGTAACCAACAAATACTACTCCTGGGGACGAAAAAAGGGGAGACTTGTGGCTGGGGATCTGCTTGGAGCATCTAATATCAG